TTTATCGTTATCGTCAGTGTTCGCTATCGTTAACGTCAGCATTTTAGTTATCATAATCATTATCAATTATTGTCGTCATCATTGTCATGGTCAACACTTTTTCTTTCTTTGCCTGTACATAAAGCACAGGCCGCACATGGAGAGTTTGAAAAGAAGCGGTGGGAGTCCAACTTTGAATCAGGAAACATTGATCTTTTTTACTATTTTTTCAATCTGGAGCCAAAACAAGCTAAAAAAAAATTTAAAGACAAAGCAATTTTAGATACTTCAAGTTGAGAAAAATTCGTGATTCTGTATTTGCAAGAACTTTGGTGTCGCACAAGTGATATGAAAAACCCAAATGTCTGAAGAGGATTGGGGCTTAGACTACCGGACCCCCATTCTGGATTTGCTACCGTAACGTCTGTGCTTTGTTTAACAACTGTTCGGTAACACCTAAGTGTATTATGTGAATGGGCAGAATGTGCCAATACGATGGGATCTGATAACAAATCTGCCTAATTTTCCTCAGATATTCCATGCTCATTTGACCGGGGATTTTGTGACTGGAGACGCTATCCCAAATCACATTTTGAAGGAGTTGCCTTGAGGAAGAAATGGTATGTTGGAAGCAGTCGCTATGAACACACCTATTCAGGAGGCAATGGTGAGTTGTAATAAGTAATAGAAGATTGAACTTTAAAGATTATAGAGAGGACATTCGGATGCGTCAATCTCCTAAGTTTACATCTATCTTGTGATCGGATATGAGCTGGCATAGGTTACAGCTCGAATGTTCTACGAAGTAGGAAGTTGGGTGGAGGAGCCGAGAACTCCTTCCGTCGACAAAACGTTTTCCTCCCGGCCGCTTTTATGGATATCGTTCTCTCGGTCGAAAACCTAGAAATAGATTTTAGGACTGTGGGTGACTCAGTGAAACGTTCTACCTTATCGAGTAAATTGGAAGTTCTTGAGAACAACTGTACGTAAAGTTCAAAAGATCGTTAAAGGACATCAGAACAGCAGCCCAAGTAAAATTGGGACTCTGAGTTTTTCCAGATCAGCACCCGCTGGAGCAACAAAGTCAGGGGTGTGTACATTCAGCTGAGTTGGAGGCAATCGACCAAACAACTAAACGATTGAATGACAAAGAGAGAAGGCTGGAATTGTGCCAGTGTCGGAAAGTGTTGATCGTCTGAGAACATTTTTGCTTCAGGAATTCAAAATACTCCGCCAGGACCTTTCTCATCGAGGTCGTGTTTGTTGATATCTTGATCTCTGAGCCCTACATGTCGACTTCTAGTACTCTCAAAGGATTGGCTGAGAGGAGCAATCTTGAAACTATGTCAATGCCAGTGTTGTCGATCAAAAAGAGGATTTCGTTTTAACTATGACCCGGGACTTGAACTTTCGAAAATCTTGTTGATACTGTCTCATCTAGAAGGGGAATATTCCTATGCAATCTCAGCTGAAGTGGTAATGAGCGCTTACACTGTAACAGAAGCACTGGATTTTTCGGCTCTCCCCATGTTTTTCTGTAGACAATTTAAAGTTTTGAAACTAACCTTTAAGGTGTCATATATTTCACCCTCTCAAATTCTATCAGATATTTGGTAACGAATCGCATACCCTGTCTTTAAGAGTATCACTGCTTAAATTACCATTGTTAAAACAGCAACAAATGCGAGTATCTGTCAAAGACGTAATCAAATGTCATATTTGATTTATATCTTACGCAGGGGGATTACTATATCTTTGGGCGTTCTGGGGATCTGGTTACGGTGCCTTTACCAGCCCATTAATTTCCAGCGACAACAATTACTGTTACTTGGTGTTCTACTACAAGCGGGATGACCGCTACTCCAAGTCATCAACAGCGCTGTCCATTTTTCTGATAGAAGACATTAGTAACAATTCGACCTTGCTCTTGTCCGTTAGCGATTACGTGACAGACTGGAAAAAGATAGTGATTGAGCTACCCTATACTGACGCCAGTTACTCGATTGTGATATTGGGATATGAAGAGTACTACAACATAATTAAAATCGATGACCTGGCCTTCGTCAGTTGTGACCCATGTAAGTTGTGATATATTTCAAATTGACTTATACATTACAGGAGAACTGCACATTAGCTAATGAAATCCTTAGTGTTTCACAAAAAACATGCTGATCAAATAAATTACACCGTAACAGCTAAATAATTGCCTCCTTAAGTTTTAGGGAATTTTTTAATTGGTGAACGTTGATAAGCATGGCGCTGTGCGCGAGGTTTTAAAAAGCATCCCAGCTTTTGACAAAAATGGTTCTTTGGTCAGCCAGGTATTCAGTTAGGGTCGTATATGCTTGGTGTTGGAGGAACTGGGGGATACTTTTCTTCCCTCAAGGGAGGAATTGTTTTCCATAAGTGATGTTTACGTTATGTGGTAAACGTCTAAGTAAAAGAAGGCGATTCATTGATGTCTCCCCCATAATTTTGGTCGACATTTCCAATCCGTATACAGACTAATGTATTAAGGCTTGAAGAAGATAAATGTAGCCGGGAAATTAAATACTGAAATTAAGATAACCTCCCTTGAAGCTTGTTTGCCTCGAGCTGTACACAAAAAAAGGTAAATTTCATTTTCTTAACAGCTGCCACTACTGTACACCAAGTAACCGGAAGTGTTTTTAGTGGTAACGAGAAACAAGGTATACATTACACGACGACTCAAAGTGAAAGCTGACATATTTTCAGAGTAGAACGTTGTCAGGTAACGAACAATGGTCTGAATCCTGTCCTTAGTGGAAGCATACCAGGAGCGATTCACCTCAATGCTTCCAACCAAGTGATTGAAATAGTCAATAACTACATTGCTGGAAATAACAATGGAGGTATTTATTCCGAAGTACTCAATGAAGTGTCCACGACAAGACCACCGGTCAGCCATATCCATGCAAACACCATAGAGTACAACAAAGGAGGCATATTACGCGTTGAAGGAGTTTCTGGGCCCTATATGAATGTTAACGTGAGCAATAACTATTTTTCTCGAAACTTTGCACGAGATTTGGATGGCAAAGCAAATAGCGTCTGTGTCATAATAAAGTTATGGGCGATTGTTCAAGGAAATTTTTTTTATAGCAACGTCGGTCATTACGTTTTGGTGTATGATAATTCTCAAACAAGTACTGTTGGTCTTCGATTTGTGAATAATACATTGTACAAGAACGGTGCAAGGGGGCTCGAT